CCTCCCCAGTCCATCTTCATGGGCCTTTGCTGCCCTTCTTGAAGGAAAACTCCCGGATAAAGGCATGAGGAAGAACCAGCTTTTGGAGTAGAACAGAGACTCTGAATTTAAATGGAAAGTCTACACTAGGGAATGGATGTATATGTGCGTTGTAGTGTACTGAATATGAGTCTCTTGTTAACTGTCAAAAGTGACACAGCCGTGGGGCACCTGGGTGGCTCGGTTGGTTAAGCGTCCGACTTTGGCTCAGGTCATGATGTCACGGTCGTGAGATCGAGCCCCTCGTCGGGCTCTGGGCTGACACTGCAGAGCCTGCTTGAGATTCTCTCTCTGTCCCTTCATCTCTGCCTCTCTCTCTCAAAATAAAAATAAAAAATAAAATAAAATAAAAGGGAAATATGTTAGCTCATTACAAGATATACTTTAGGGGCGCCTGGGTGGCTCAGTCAGTTAAGCGTCTGACTTTGGCTCAGGTCATGATCTCACGGTTCATGGGTTCGAGACCCACATCAGGCTCTGTGCTGACGGCTCAGGGCCTGGAGCCTGCTTCCGATTCTGTGTCTCCCTCTCTCTCCGCCCCTCCCCTGCTCACGCTCTGTCTCTCTCTCTCTCTCTCAAAAATGAATAAACACTAAACAAATTTTTTTTTTAAAGTGACACAGCCGTATTTTTCACAGGCAAAGGCAGATGTCGAACCCAAAATGTCAGGGCCTGGAGAGCGAGTCCATTCGGATAGAAAGATGGATTTTTGTTCTAGACAGTTACACATCTGCTTTTGAAAAGCAGTCAGCATCCCTGGGTCACTGAGTGTCTGCAGAATCCACGGGGTCAGCTCTTCTCAAAGACCCCAGGAGAAGAGCTAGTGTGCCCAAAGAAGCAGAGCTCCAGAAAGTGCTGTAGTTCTAGGTGTTCTAGGTGTTCTTCTTACAGAAGGCTGTAAGGCTGTTGGTGCCATCAGGAGGCTCGGAATCTATACGTCATACCATCCACTGGAATAAACACAACGTGTGCTGCTCTTGAGTGTTTTAGTGGCCGCTGCTACATTAACTTCCTGGCACTAAGTTTTCTGTTTAAGTTCATCTCTTTATTTTGAGAGAGAGGGAGAGAGACAGACAGAGAGAACACGAGCAGAGAAGGGGCAGAGAGAGAGGGAGACAGAGCATCCAAATCAGGCTCCGCACTGTAAGCATAAAGTCCGACATGGGGCTCGAACTCATGAACCATGAGATTCATGACCTGAGCTGAAGTCAGATGCCCCAACACTAAGAAGTTTTAAAATTAAAAAAAACATGGGGCGCCTGGGTGGCTCAGTCGGTTGAGCGTCTGACTTCGGCTCAGGTCGTGATCTCACGGTCCGTGAGTTCGAGCCCCGCGTCGGGCTCTGGGCTGACGGCTCGGAGCCTGGAGCCTGCTTCGGATTATGTGGCTCCCTCTCTCTCTGCCCCTCCCCCACTCATGCTCTGTCTCTTTCTCTCTCTCTCTGTGTCAAAAATAAATAAACGTTAAAGAAAAAAATTAAAAAAAAAATGATAAAAACAAAACAAAACCTGACTCGAGAGTAAAGGGTCTCTTACGAAAGCTTTAGAAGTTGCATAAACTCAGGGCGCCTGGGTGGCTCTGTGGGTTAAGCTTCTGACTCTGGATTTCAGCTCAGGACACGATCTCACAGTTGGTGGGATCGAGCCCCGCATCAGGCTCTGTGTGGACAGTGCGAAGCCTGCTTGGGACTCTCTCTCCCCACCGCCGCCCCCTTCTGCTCTCTTTCTCTCTCAAAATAAATAAATAAAAATTAAAAAAAGTAAAAGTTGGGTAAATTGAGTATAAATAAGGAGACTCTCGCCCACCAGGGATGAGTGCTATCAGTACCCTTCTGACTCACGGTTAAATCTTAATTGACGGATGTATTTATTAACGGTTCATGGTGCCCCTTCGGTGCCTGATAGGATACTCGGGCCTGAGGACAGAAGGTGGCTAAGTCACAGACCCTGCCTCGGGCACTTCAGAGCCAACAGGGAGCAACAGATACAAAGACTGAATACGGAAAGTGCTACAGGAACGTATACGCATACGTTATACATATACGTTATAGCCACAGCTTAACATTTAGGAAAGAAAAACCAAAACCAAAACCAAAACCCCGTAATTGAAACTAATGTAACGCTGTGTGCCAATTATACTTCAACTTAAAAAAATTGTTTACTTGTCCCCCATGTCTTTTAAAGACAATTCCTGTGGCCAAGATGTTGGGCCAACTGAACCGTTGTAAGGATAATGTGTGAGACGCTTGATTAGCTGCAAACTCGAATACTACTGTTTTTAGTGTGGAAGAAACCACCGTTTCAAGCATGGCGCCCACGTCTGGAGCCTCTGGGCCAGACAGCGGTTTCTACTCGCTGGACCCAGCAGGGTTTGGAGAGTGGGCTTGGAAGGCTGGCTTCTAGCTGGTTCTATTACAGGTGCTCGGGCGAGTCACACTTATCCTCTCTGAGTCATTTCCTTTTCTAAGAAATTAAGGGTTTTGATTAGCTCATCTCCAAGTTTCTTCCCAACGAAGGGCTTCGAATTTCTGTGAAAATCTACCCTGACATACTTCTAGTTACAGAGGATAGGATTGGAATAATTAAACTGAAAAAAAAAAAAGGAAAAGAAAAGAAAAGCCTTTACGCGGGCAATCAAAGCATTTTTCTAGATCATTACCATGTCAAAATAAACCAGTTGCACTTGACTTAGAGGTGCAGGTTACTGCGCGTGCACCAAAGGAGAGAAGGAACAACCTTAAGTCCGGTCGGGCATAGTTGTCTGTCGGGCTCAACTGTAGCTGGGGGGAGATGTTTAAATGGAGTGACAGGCGACAGAGGAGAGCAGACTCTGGACTGCAGAGCCAGTGACAACCCAGAGCTTCTAGCTTTCAGGGAGGGATGAGGTCTAAGTCATAGCACCTGGCATCCGACTCGACTCAACTTTTGACTTCCAATCATTTCACATAGTCTCCAAAAGCTGAGGTCTGTTCCTGGAATAGAAACCTTCCCTCTGCTTTTTCTAAAATACTCTTTTAAACAGTTTCAAGGTTGCTCACTGTTTTCCTAATATTTTAGGGAACTATGGAAAAATCTGCACGCCATAGAGAAATAATGCAAATAGGGGAGCAGGGTTGCCTGGGGTAACCTGTCCCGACTAAGCAGGCGTGCTATCAGACATACTTCCTCGGTGAGGTGGCACAGGACTATGTTTCCAACACCCCTACTCCCCACCCCCCCACTTTCATGAGGGATGAACTGGCGGGAGGGGCAGGTTGGGGTCAAGGGGCGGTAGAGGACACAAGGTCGTGATGTGTGATGGATGGGACAGGCTATTTGTCTCGTGTTGCCCTTGTTACGATCTATTCAAGTGTTGGATCAATGGATCAAATATTAAACGGTGGGCTTTGGAAAAATATCCATTGAAGGTTTTCCTTAAAGAATCTTTTCTTTTAAGTTTATTTATTTATCTTGAGAGAAAGAGAGACACAGATAGAGAGGGAGAGGAGAATCTCAAGCGGGCTCTGCACTTCAGCACAAAGCCCTATGCGAGACTCGAACTCGCGAACCTTGAGATCATGACCTGAGCCAAAATCAGGAGGAGGACGCTTAGCTGACTGAGCCACCTAGGTGCCCCTCCATTGAAGGTTTCAATTTTTTTTAATGTTTATTAATTTTTGAGAGAGAGAGCGCGAGAGAGAGACAGAGGGAGAACATGAACGTGAGCAGGGGAGGGGCAGAGAGAGAGGGAGACACAGAATCAGAAGCAGGCTCCAGGCTCTGAGCTGTCAGCACAGAGCCCGACACGGGGCTCGAGCTCACAGACCGCAAGATCATGACCTGAGCCCAAGTTGGACGCTTAACCAACTGAGCCACCCAGGAGCCCCTCCATCGAAGGTTTAAAACACGTGTAGGGCTTGAGTTTAAGGACCACTCCCAGGTTCAGCAAGCCCAATAATCCCTTTGATAACAGTTAGAAGGGCTAAAGTTACAGTGTGCCTCTCATCAGGGCAACCAAACCTTCTGCCTTAGGTCCTCATCATCAGCCACTGATGATGAGAGCTGCGTGCCCCCGGCATTTCTGGAACATACTTATATTGTACTTTATACATGGAGACTTTCTACAGGACTTAATAGGAGATGTGTAGTCACCACAACAAACAAGAAAAACTGAACTAAGTTCAAAAGCCCCACATTTCTTTTTACCTCCTTCTCATCTCCCTCTTTAGAACTCAAAGGGCACAGTCCACAATGGAAGTTTGGTTATAAATGTTTTTTTCCTTTTCTTTTCTTTTTTTTTTTTTTTTTTTTTTGGCTACTACAAACTATCTTAAATTATATACCATGTGCTTAGGGTTATAGAGCATGTATATCCATGTTTTTTGAACAGTATCTTCTACACTTAAATTGCATGGCGGTTGATACAGGAAGGATGTATGTTGCTTATTTAGGCTGTGCACGATGTGTGCTGTTATCCACAGCTGTATCCTTGAAAACGGCACCGGGCTTGGGACCTCGTAGGTGCTTGGTAAGTACGCGTCGAATGATGAATAAATAGATAGGACACAGCAGTGGTATAATAAGCGTGATCAGCAAAGGATCTTTTACGGGGGTAACTGAAATAACATCAACGAGATTTGGAAGAGGGACGGGGATGTTTATACAGTTGACGGATGTTTAAAAACGGGCCAGCAGTTACTCAGGAAGACAAGAGTATTATTAAAACGAAGGGCAAAGTCTGCCCTTCTTCAGCATGTTTAGAAGTCTCTGGAAATGCCAGAAGTCTACCCCTTCTTCCTGTATACAATGACCTTCCTAAATAACTGCTGTTCATACTTGGGGACAACAACGTTTTAAAGAGGTTGTTATTTAATTCCGTATAACATCACAGTATGGAATACAAGGCGTCTCCCTTTAAAACGGCCATTTCCCCTTTCCACAAACAACAACAGGGGGGGTGGTGGTGTCGGACTCTCTCCTTACCGTGAGTGACAAGGCCATGCAGACGAACGTGAACTTCTTGATGTGGGCGGCTGTCACCGTGTTGCTGGTGCTCACCAGTTTATTGCTGGGGTTATTCTAGGGTGAAAGAAAGGGACAGTGGTTATCCTGACCACACGTGCATCTTGAAGAGCATCTTGTTTTGGTTTTATTGGATGTGTCTGAAGTATGGGTGTCACCTGACAGCTGGGAGGACGGCTGTCACTTTCTCTCTTAGACAGCTGTCAGGCTTCTGGACTTGAACGTGAACCGGAGGGGGTTCTGGACGGAACTCTGGGCAGTGTCTCCTGAGTCTGTGTTCCCTGGGCGCTGGCCACCCACCCAGCCTAGTCCAGGGCCCCGGCCCGGGTGGCCCCTCCTGGCCACCTGGCACCTCCTCGAAGCGACAGCCCAGCTCGGTGACCTTCGGGGCCCTGTCCTCCCCACCAGCGGGCATTCTCGGCCCTGCCTGCCCTGACCCAGACTCCTCCACTTGTATTCCAGACACAACCTCTTCCTCTTCCCCTATCACACTTGGTGTTTTCATGTTTCTGTGCTTCTGTTCCTCCTCGTCTCTTTGGATCTTGTGAATTTCAAAGCTACCCTCTTTGGGGCACATCACGGGCATAGCCCGTCTGCTTCTTGAAGTCTCTCTGATCTTATAGCCCGAAGTGCCCCGGGGCCCCACTTCCTGGAATGCAGGCGAGCCCAGAGCTCTCTGGAGGTGGGTACGTTGTGGAAGGTGCACGCAGGTTGCGGACACAGAACTGGGCACCTCACTCTTCCCCTTGACTCCTGCCCCTCAGCACAGTCTTTCTTGCAGAGAAGGTGCTCACCGCCGCCACACCGAGTTTTTTTTAAATTTTTTTTTCAACGTTTTTTATTTATTTTTGGGACAGAGAGAGACAAAGCATGAACGGGGGAGGGGCAGAGAGAGAGGGAGACACAGAATCAGAAACAGGCTCCAGGCTCCGAGCCATCAGCCCAGAGCCTGACGCGGGGCTCGAACTCACGGACTGCGAGATCGTGACCTGGCTGAAGTCGGACGCTTAACCGACTGCGCCACCCAGGCGCCCCATACACTGGGTTTTAAGCAACCAGTGCGGACGGCCCAAATGTCCTCTCGCCCATCCTGAGGCTTGCTCAGACCATCCCAGCGCCACTGCTAAGCAGGCCTAACACCCGATCAAACTGGTGCCTGGCCCCTCATCACGAACACCAGCGGAGAAAAAGACCCCCCGGCCTCCACCAGGGATCCAGTTAGTCCCAGGGGCGACCGACAGAAGCACACCGGGGCTCCTGGCTCGCGTCCCGCTGGATGAAAGACGCAGAAGCAGAGCGGATACGGGTTCTACTGGGAAAAGAGCTTCTGATGGTTCCTTTACTTTGGGAGCTCAGGCGGTCTCCCCGGTCCCTTCCCCCTGTACGTGCCATGCCGCCAGCACAAACCTCTGCTCGAGCCTGTGTCATCCCAGCCTCTAAGGTGGATCCGCTTTTCTGAACAACAGATTTTGCCGCCGCGGCAGAGTGCAAGTCTCTCCACCTCCCCCGCCCCGGGGATTTGCGAGAGAGGGGCCCGAGTGGGCGCGCCACAGAGAGTCAGGAAACCAACCCGGGAGCGCCATGTCGCCCGTGGGGGACAGCAGCGTGGCGCAGCGCCTTCGCGTACGCTTTGGTTTCTACGCCCGCAGTTCGTTCCGCCAGCGTGGTTGGAACGAACACACCAGCAGGGACCATTAGGTTGGCGTCCGTGTTTCGTTTTGTTTGCCCCATCTGCTGAGCAACATAGCCCTTCGCGGGTGAGAACTGAACATCGGAGAGATTCTGCACGAGTGGAAAACGCTCCCCGTTGCTGCTATTCAGTGGGAGCCACCAGAAGTTATGCAAGAAATGTTAGATGTCTTAGGCCGGAGCCCACAAAGAGGCTAAGGATCTCAATTGTCAATGCAGCAAATTCTGCAAGTCCACACAGAGGGGTCTCAGATTTGGGCGAACAGACGGCATTCACGCGAATGGCTTAGAGGACCTCCCTGCCATGCCTGGAACAATGAGCGAGGCCCCACAAGGGTTCTGAGCCACGCCAGTTGCTGGCTGGAGGTACATGCTCGTTCAAGGGATTTTTTCGTAGCACCTAACCTCTGTGATCGCGAACCAAACCGAGTTTTTCTTGGATGCGCCTGCTGAAACTGTATCGTGTTACATTGTTAAGTTTTATTATTTCGAGGTAGCCAAAAAAAGAATTCCAGATGAGACTTCCTCCCCCAGCCCGGAGGCTCTGACTCTTCAGTGCTTCCTGGTCTCATCACGTTTTCTTACATAATCTTGGTCTCCAAGAGCTAGACATTTAGCAGGAAGACTTCTATGCATTTTGGTTTTCTAGGATTTACTTTTTTTTTTTTTTTAGCTCTTGTCTTCTGTTTTTTTTTTAAGTTTATTTATTTATTTTGAGAGAGACAGAGACAGTGCAAGTGGAGAAGGGGCAGAGAGAGACAGAGAGAGAGAGAGGGAATCCCAAGCAGGCTCCTTGGTGTCAGCACAGCGCCTGACGCAGGGCTTGAACTCGTGAAACTGTGAGATCACGACCTGGGCAGAAACCAAGAGTCGGACACTAACCAACTGAGCCACCCAGGCGCCCCTGGGATTTACTTCTATATGCACGTGACTTAAAACGAAGATGACAATTTCTATCAATAGACTGGATTAAACTCACTCAAACAAGAATTACAAGGAGGAAAATCTCCCGCAAGCCACTTGTGCCTCAAGTTTGCTCTCAGAGCATTTTTAGGAGATACGCTGCTTCCTGATGTTGTGAGATGCTGATGTGTGAAACGGGGAGTGGGTCTAGCTCGTAGTCCACTGGGGAGGTTCCACACCCAGTGAAGAGATCCGGGCAGCACCACCGCCCTGTCTTGTTAGGCTGCATGGTGGGCATCCCTGAAGTGAGCTGCCATTCACGGGTGAGTATGGGGCTGGGAACAGAGGCAGGTGACACCATGGGGGATGTACAGGGTGGAAGGATGCCGTGGATGGGGACGTGTGACAGAGGGTGTGTGTGTGTGTGTGTGTGTGTGTTTGCACGAGTCTGCTGGTAGACCACAGAGAAGAAGGTGGACCCACAGTGGATACTGTCTTTCCAGACTTGAGTCTCCGCCCCTGGCTCATCCCCACTCAGAGATGCCTGGGGCGTGGGGGGTGTGCCCTGGGTCAATGAGGCAAGCTGGACAGGAACCCTTTCTGGGGCCCCACTCCACAGGTATTACTCTTTTCTAGAAGCCCACAAACAACTAAACATTTGAGAATCCGGAGGCTATGTGAAAGAAAGAGCTAAGCGTATATAGCCTGTGGCTGGGCCTTGCTCGTGTGGCCCCCCAGGATTTCCCATGTCCACGCGAGTCTGGGAGCGGGGGGCTGGGGTGAGGGGAGGAGGGAGGCCAGCTTTAGCTAGTCAGAGCCCAAACTGCCTGTGCTGCCAGAACTGATGTGCTGGGGCCCCTGGCCAAGAGGCCTCCTCTCCTCACATCCCAGGACTCTTGCTGGGGGAAGATAAAGTGGTATCGGCCGTGGCTCTGAGCTTGTCCTGGAGAAGTTCAAGGCAAAGTAGCTGCTATTAAAAGTACACGTGGCAGGTTGTGTGCTTCTTTCCCCATTTTTCGTTTTATTTTATTCATTTATTTATTTATTTATTTATTTATTTATTTCAACGTTTATTTATTTTTTTGGGGACAGAGAGAGACAGAGCATGAACGGGGGAGGGGCAGAGAGAGAGGGAGACACAGAATCGGAAACAGGCTCCAGGCTCTGAGCCATCAGCCCAGAGCCCGACGCGGGACTCGAACTCACGGACCGCAAGATGGTGACCTGGCTGAAGTCGGACGCTTAACCGACTGTGCCACCCAGGCGCCCCCCCATTTTTCATTTTAAAACATCGTATACTATCTTTTGGGGGGGGTATGTTTTGCTGTAACAGTCTATAGGTTCAAATAACTAAGCTTTAATGAAATAGACATGAATTAAATGATTGGTAGGACAGCCCCCCCCCCCCCCCCCCCCCCCCCCCCCCCCCCCGGGCCACAGGCTGCAAGTCTGAAGGGTTATGTGCCTCCCTAGGGCATGACAGCAGCCGCGGAGGGGGCAGAGCTGTTGTTAACAGAGGCTTTCAGCTGGAGTAAGTCTGCTGCATCCAAACCAACCTGAACCCAGGTCGGCGGTGTGGACAACTTCAGCGCGCATGGTCCCAAGTGTTGAACGAGCTCCGTAAGCCTAGGAGCTCAAGCGCACCACCCCGTCTGTTCCTTCACATCTGCTCTGAGGTCAGTGTAGTCTTAGTTTTATTTAATAAACAAAAGACAGAGGCAAAATCCAACGTATTCAATTTTCTTGAGAGTCTATTTTCCCTTCGCAAAAAAATTAATGGTACCTCAACAGGAACAACCTAAAAGCGGATACGGTTCGGAGGGCACTGGAGAACTGGCATCAGGGTGAGCTGGACAGCCTCTGTTATTTCCTGAGGGAACTGTTTCACAATTACGTTTGACCCCCTCGACGCCACGGTAACCTTACAGAGGGAGGTGAGACGGGGAAGTATCAAAGTTTTCCTCATCAGAGATGCCTGTCCATCAAAAGCTAGTTTTAAAGAGTGTGTTTTAGGCACCACGCCGCACGGGTTCTCACCTTGTCAAAAGCAGGGTAGACGGCACGGATTTCCGTCAGCCATCCATATGGCATGTGACCCACAGGGTATGTGGCTGTCAAAATTGCCACCGCCTACAAGAGGAAAAGCCAGCAGAATTAGCGCCCACATCCCCGAGAGAATTTCCAGTAGCTGCTGTTTGCCCCGTGGCTGCATGAGCCATCTCTGGGGTGGCCGCCACAGACAGATAACCGCACACTGGGTGACAAGCATTGGCCAGCCACAGGACAGCCCCGGGGGAAGCGGGGAAGGGGCAGGTGGTCCACTGTGACCATGGATGGGAGTGGGGTACAGGAGCCCAGGTAGTGCATGGAGTCCAGGAGGATGCATCTTCTTTACATGAATCCAAAGAGAAACAGCTCTGGGTTGTGGGCTGGACAAGCTACAGTTTGAACCCAGGCCCACCAGACCAAGGATCTTTGCTCTTTCCATTGAGCCGAACGGAACCCTCCAGGCTAGCCCAGTTCTGGAGTCTCAACATGTGATTTTGAGCCCGCTCTGCTCTCTGGGTAGTCTTTGCTCAGGGTCCGCCTCTATGCCTCCATCTTGTTCCTGCGGGTGGACTGGCGGTGGCTCTGTGGCCCCCTCCTTCCAACTCAACTCACTTTTAATCTGTTCAGCCAGGATAGCCTAATTTTGATGTTTAACTTAAGAAGACTAAATATTTCTTACAGGAAACCAAACACGTTCTTCCGTGGAAATGAGACTTTCTCTTCCTATGTGAATGAAAAGGAAGGGGTATGAAAACAAAGCATTGAACCCCACATGTTGGCGAGTTCAGCTCTAGCTGGCTAGTAAAAGAGAAGTTCAGCCTTCATCTATTTTAATGAACATAACATCGATGCCTGGAACATGAAGTGAGTCCCCCGCTGGGTGAAGAAACCGCTGTGAGGGTAGAGTGGTAGACCCGAGTCAAACCTCCACTTGGTCACCTACCAGCGGCGTGAAGTGTGGACCCGCTCAGACCCCCTTTCTGTTCCTCTAGCAGAACCGTGGGAGTAACGGCATCCATCACACAGGGCTGCGGGGAGTCAACGCCATGTGCATAAAGTGCCCTCACACAGCAGATGGTCAATCACCGTGGTCCTGTACCTTCTGTGCTGGGCCTCTAGGTCATGGAGGTCACTACAGAAACGGCCCCAATACATCACTTGCCTTATTTTTTTTTTTTTAAAGGGGATGATGGAGTTCTGGCACAGAAGTGATGGGGGTCACGTGCTTTCTTTTCCTGTGCGACTGAAACTGAAGTCGTTAACTGAAAAAGCTGCTGGGTTACAGGAGCCACCCAAGATGACGACCTTCACGATCCAAAACACAAAATCCAGGAACAAACTGAGGCAGGAGAAGGTGTCCTGCTTGGGATTTATGTGCTTCCCTTCCTAAGCCAACACGAGCTGCTTCCCAGGACATGGAAACTGGCACGAGACCCCGGGCGGGAGACATGCCGAGAACACATTCAAGGGCAACGAGCAAAACCAGAAGGCCCTCAGGGGCAGCCACCAGCCCTCCTGAAGGACCAGCACTTCCGGAGACGGAATCGATTCTCCAGAAGGCAGCAGAGGAGGGAACGAACGAAGTAGCCCTATTTGTTCATCCCATCCTTGAGAGATGGAAAAAATGATTCAACTCTTTTTTTTTTTTTTTTTTTTTTTTTTTTTTTTTTTTTTGGAGCAGCTGCCAGTTTCCAGATATATTTCTTGAGTTGTGAGTGAGTAGATGAGGGAGGTCTTCATTCGGAGGAGGGCAGACTGCCACAGAGCACGCAGGGCCGTGACTGCTGGGCCATATGTGTAGGAAGGCGGAGCATGAACAGGCGAGAGAGGCCGGGGTCACGATGGAGGCACCGGCCCTCACAGTCCGGGCGTTTTCGTTGCTGTGCCCGGCATAGTGTCTGGTCTTCGGCAACCACAGTGAAGCAGCATCATGCCGACTCCGCGGAAAAACGGAAAGGCCATTGGGCGGGAGGCGGAAAATCTGGATTCTGAGGCCAGCCCAGCTTCTTGCTAGTTTTGTGTCCTCGCCTCTGTTTTCTCAAATGGCCAATGAGAACAATGAAGGAGCTGTCTCCTTCCATACTCATAAATAAGGAAGAAACGCTATGATTGTAAGACCCTCATGGCTTCTGAGTGTGAATGTGTCACATAATTTAATACCACAGGATTACTGAAGCTCTCAAGAGGGATCAGAGACAAGCTTGCATCCACCTTCCCGCCCCCATTCTTCATGAGGTGACTACAAGCCTCCCCCTCCCCGCCCTGGCCCCCCATCCCCAGAAAGTGCCCTACCTCTGTCGCTGCAGAACTTCCACCAAGGTCCCGGGAAACAAAGAGGTTGACGATCGGTCTACTGATTCTCTGTGTAGCCAAGATGAGAGCCAGGGGCCACCAGAAGCTCAGCATTTTCCTTATCGTTGCATCCCCCTGTGTCAAGAAATGGAGAGAAAGGGTCACTAGGCTCTAGAAGCAGAACAGGAGAAACACTTCAGAGCCAAAGCTTTTCCTTCTGATGTCAATCATGCGTCAATTCATTGTACTTAAAAAAAAATGGCATAAGGAAAGCCTCTGTAGCCAAGCCAATCTGAATGAAAACAAAACGTACAGTCTTACTCGAAATTAACTCAGACGGCTGGCAAGCTGCTGTGAAATCAAAACACACATTTAAGTATGATGGATCCACATCACTGTTTTCCAAAGAGGGAAGCTCTACACTCAGGCAGACCCCGATTCCATGGCCTGAGAAGCAGGCTGGAAATTAGTTTTTGTTTAAGTCATCAAATGGACTGGCTAGAAGCCACGTCTGTAAGAGGTAACTCTCAGAAGTAAAAAAATTACTGTAATTTATTTTGTAACCCATCAGGTCACGAATGCGCCTAATTATTTGGGCACCGTGCAAATCAACGACGAAGATTCTTATTCTCGAAGCTCTCACAGAAGTCATGTAAATGTGCAGAAGCGTAAAAATAAGAACACGGTCAAGAAAATGTGGTTTGTTAAGAATTCTACAAAGTAAAGATGTGTGCAGTCTTTAAAGCCTGGCTTTTATGATTTTATGATTTTGATTCTTCAGAGGTGAAGGGTTACATCATGGAACCAGGTCAGCCGCTCTGGTTTCCCTTTGCTGGTGGCTCAATGTTACGAGACGGATTGTTACGATCAAGACCAATTTGATGTGGTTTTCCTAGTGATGGAAACAACGAGATCAGATTTTATTGACGGCCTGCCCTCTCGGATGGAGGTAAGTGGTCAACGTCATTATTGTTCTGACATGACAGGGGTAACCTGTGGTCAAAGGCGGGATCAGGGACTTATTCCGGGCCCTTAGGGAACCAGGCATATCTACCTTACAGCTAGATGGAAACACAGCCCAGTGACACCCGATAACGAAGGTAGAACAGATGAGCATATACATAAATCAGATGCTGTTGACACTGATGATGAAAAAGTGCTTGGGCCACTGGTGTAAGATCATACCCTGTTTCTATCCGACTCAACTTCGGAGGTGCAGGCCAAGCTCTGTCTCCATCCAGGAGCGTCTCAGACCTTACCGCTATCTCCTTTCTCTCAGCTTCCGTGGCCCTTGTGTCCCGTCTGCAGGTCTATGTGCTCTCCTGGATCCACGTCTGAGTGTCGCTTCTGTGTTGGTCTTAGCTACCAAATGAGGTGTACTACGTTGCTTGAGGATAGAGACCCTGTTTAAAATGTTTCTGGGCCCCTCCACGGTACCTGTAGGCTCTGCTCACTCCACAGAAGGTACGTGAATGCACAACTGTGTTTGGCCCGTACGGAAAGTATAAACAAAGCCTGGGGCCCTGCTGTGAAATTAAAAACAACCCAAATATGAGTTTAAAGGTACTGCGGGTCCTAAAACACTTGTTGATTAATATATAAGTACCGTGCGCTATTGGATTGCCCCACTGGAGCTCCATTTTGATGAATGACTGACTTTTGACAACAGAGGGTAAGAAAAGACGAAACCGCTACACCTACTCAGCCTGACCTGACTCACTGTGCCTCAGTCTCCCTGATATGCAACGGAGGAGGCTGAACAGTGGCCTCTAAGACCTCTTCTATCTCCAGGGGCCCTTCATTCTCCAACCGTCTCCCCTGTGGCCACGACCTAGCACTTGACAGCTTGCAGCATGTGCTCCTTGTATGGATACCCCCAATTCGCAAAGGGCCGGGGCAGCACTCGGCCGCCCTCGGAGGCACAGACGGGGTGTCGGCGAGTTCTAAGGACGTACCCCCAGTTCCGGTCCGCTCCTGTCGGGGATGATGTCGTGGATGTTCTTGTAGTAGCCCAGGCACAGGGTGGTGCAGCGCACAAGGGCGCCCATGTACAAGGAAAGGATGGGGATGAGCAGAGGCTCCCTGCATTCCAGGTGACTGTGAAGCAAAATGGCTACAAAAACGACCTGAGAGACAGGAAAACGAGAGCAAGTCAGAGGGGAGAAGGTGGAGCCCGTCGACAGAAGCACGGTCCACCCTCTTGCACCCCGATGAGACACATCTCCGAGTGAAAATCCCGACGTTGAGGAGGAGAACGGAAACTTGGGCTGAGGCTCAAGGCCACTCTCAGAATTCAGGGTCGGATGCCTGGGGTTCACCGGAAGGGCACACGATCATTTTGCCGTATTCACCACGAAGGTTCTTTGAAGGTAACTGCACATCTCGTTAAGGTTATTGCTAAAAAAAAAAAAAAAATATCTGGAAACTTTGGGCTCCTAGGTTCCCAAAAGATGTGGCAGAGGTTTGCCCTTCTTGAGCCTGGATCCCGACGCGCACAGGTAACCCACACGGGAGGCCCTAAGCCCACAAGGAAAGAGTAGTGGTGATCAGTGATGTCTATGGAAAAATGCACATTTAACATTTACAAGATGCAATTCATTAAAAATGCTGCAAAAGGGGCGCCTGGGTGGCGCAGTCGGTTAAGCGTCCGACTTCAGCCAGGTCACGATCTCGCGGTCCGTGAGTTCGAGCCCCGCGTCAGGCTCTGGGCTGATGGCTCGGAGCCTGGAGCCTGTTTCCGATTCTGTGTCTCCCTCTCTCTCTGCCCCTCCCCCGTTCATGCTCTGTCTCTCTCTGTCCCAAAAAAAATAAATAAACGTTGAAAAAAAAAAATGCTGCAAAAGACACCAATGTTAATTATTATAAGGCAAGCCAGATTAAAATTTAAAATATAAACATATAGAAGTGGAATAAGTCAACAAAATAGTCAAGAGGGATTGAAAAAAATAATCAAGTATTGATCTCTACCGACTGTAGAGTCCCCACAACAAATTTAACAACGTATTTAACCTTCCCGTCTGCAAAGCTCAGACAAGAAGCCCAGTCTCTGTCCAGAGCCATCTGGGGATTCATACATTCAGGAGAGCACTGAGCACACTGAGTGCAAAAATAAAGTAATGGGGGAGGGGGACGATTCCTGGGCTACACTGACTTTATTTTTTTAATGTTTATTTATTTTTGAGAGAAAGAGAGAGAGAGAGAGAGAGAGAAAAGACAGGTGGGAGGGGCAGAGAGAGAGGGAGACACAGAATCTGAAGCAGGCTCCAGGCTCTGAGCTGTCAGCACAGAGCCCGATGTAGGGCTCGAACCCATGAACCGTGAGGTCACAAACTGAGCCCAAGTTGGACGCTTAACCGACTGAGCCACCCAGGCACCCCTCGACTTTTCTTTTTTTTTAAAGATTTTATTTTTAAGCAATCTCTACACCTAACGTGGGGCTCAAACTTACAACCCTGAGATCAAGAGTCACATACATGCTCTACCGACTGAGCCAGCCAGGCACCCCGAGCTAGAGCGACTTTAATGGCCAAATATCTGTGGAACAATAGGCATGCAAAATATACCGCCATCGAGTGATCCTGACCAGAGGAGGCTTATCCTGATCACTTCAGTGCCAAGAGATCAGTGATGACAGAAAGTTAAAAAGGAAGCTGGAGACTGAGCGTGATTAACTGGATGAGTGCCTTCCGCTGCTGTAGGGAACACACACAGAAAAGCAGGGTAATACAGAGAAGCTTCTGAACGCAGTAAAAGCATCAGATGCTAGAGGTGGTTTGTTGACGGCATCGATGAATCTCGTGCCCGGCTGTCCTTCTCAAACCCAGTAGATGAGGCTGACTGGGACAGGGAGCCTCCGGGGATGCAGGAGAGAGAGGCACTGCTTGGCCACGTGGACGCACCAGGCTGCCCGCAGCACCGACAATGTGAATGGACACAAGTCAGGCCACATTCACACTCGCACTCACGCTCTCGGAGGATACAGCAGAGCCCAGTGATAGAAGTCAAGATGCCCGGACCTGGCTCCGTGCCTGTTCCTTCCAAGTGGAACTATCAAATGTCAACTGAAAATGCGAACACCAGCTGGGGAAGCCTTGCTAAGGACGCACTGTGTTTGAAACAGAAGACCAGGGGGTTTGTGATGGGGCCAAGATGTGCAGTGATGTCTCTAAAGCATTAGATGCCTCTAAGGAGCCGCCATGCAAACTCACACTGGTGCATGTGCAACAAGCTGAACGTTTGGCAGCTAGAAAACGTACAGAGCAAACTAAGATGACCTTGTGCAGAGACTGAAAACTCACTGTACAAGAAATGAATACGTAAGGATCATCCCCCCGCTGCTAAGTCCAGGAAAGACCCCCAGGGCCGTCAGGATGGCCATGCAAGATGGAGGCCTGCCGAGCAGAGCCACGGAGGAGGATGTGGAGGTGACGGAAAAAAGAGGGACTCGGCCGAAAGAAGAGTGAGTGTGGCGATGACAGGAAACAGCCAGAGAATCATGGCAGGCTATTTGGGACCGAGGGAAGGTGGGAAGCACTGGCCCAGTGGCTCTCACAGCCTCCCTGCGCGTTTAATAGCTCGATGCCATGTGGCCCAGCACCTGTCACAGAGCTGACACCATCACTGTGGATTGTATTGTTTGCCAACTGAAAATAACACGGGGCAGGGGCGCCTGGGTGGCTAAGTCGGTTAAGCGTCCGACTCTTGATTTCGTCTCAGGTCATATCTCACAGTTCTTGAGTTTGAGCCCCGTGCTGGGCTCTGTACTGGCAACTGGGACCCTGCTTGGGATTCCCTCTCCCTGTCTCTCTAGCCGCTCCCCTGCACGCACGCTCTCTCTCTCAAAATGAAATGAAATGAAATAAAGTAAAATAACACGGGGCCTTCTGCAATTAAAGTCCAGAATTATGACTCTGAGTCTGATATAGCCACCGAAAATATTGGGTTATTTTCTGAGGGGGAACCTAGGGCCTCACTGGTGAGGATTTTTCCCAGTGAGAGCCTGTTCTGTGCTGGCCTTGTACTGGGTGCCGGGATTCAGAGATCAATGAGATCATCCCAAATTCTGTCCTGGGGAGCGGAGGGTCGAGCGGAGAAGCAGGGACCTTAATCACACAGTGGCGCTGGCGAGCGCCCGCTGACACAGGGAAGGAAGAGTGGCTGTGCTAGGACAGCCAGGCTGCTGTGAGGGAGGGCGTCTTCCTGGGTGCTGTCTGAGCTGAGACCTACAGTCTCCGCAGGAGACTAGCCAGGAATGGCAGGCGTCGGAGGCAGTTCTCCCCAGAACTGAGGCAGAACGTTTCCTCCCGGGGAAGATGGGGCTGAGGTGAAAAGCCCCAGCGGAAGGGGGCTCTGCCCTACCGAGGCCCCGAACGGAGTACCCGTGGCTGGAGTGCAGGAAGCAAGGGGACAAGAGGAGACTGCCAGGCTGGAGAGGAAGCAAGGCCAAAGGACTTCAGTACCTTGTTGGCCGTGAGCAGGATTTTGAGTTTTTTACCTCAAGAACACCAGGAAACAATTTCTTAGGTTTTTTTTTTCTTTCATGTTTATTTATTTAGTTTGAGAGAGAGAGAGAGAGAGAGAGAGAGAGAGAGAGGGAGAGAGAAGAAGGAGAGGAAGAGAGAGAATCCCAAGCAGGCTCCTTACTCAGTGTGGAGCCTGACACGGGGCTCCATCCCGTGACCGTGACCTGAGCCGAATTCAAGAGTTAGATGCTTAACCGACTGAGCCACTCAGGTGACCCCATCAGGAGCAGCTTCCAAGCAGGGGATGAGGTAAAAAGAACGGATTACAGGGGTGGCGGTGGGGAAGGGAGGAGGTGGGTCAGAGCAGAGGCAGAGGCAAGAGAGGAGACATCCGGGTAGGAGGGGAGGCAGATGGGGAGAGGAGGGCGATATTTGGTATCCAATCTGGAAGGCGGGCATGAACTAGATGTTTCTCCAACAGAACAGAACAGAGCGAGGAGAGACAGAGAAAGGTGCTGAGAAAGGTCCACATGTTCACAGCAATAGAGGAGGTGGGCCTTCAGAAGGAGGAGACAGACCAGGACTGTGGTGCTGTACCAGTGGGAAGGAACGTTTTGTGCAGTCAGGAGCAGTCAACAGAGTGAAGGGATGTCTGAGAAGTTGACAGGGAACGTCCACTGGGTTAAGTGACATGAAGGTCATTAGCAAGAACCATTTGGGTGGGCTGACGGGGGTGGAAGTCCACCTGGAGTCGGTAAAAGAATAAAAGAGAAGTGAAAAAAAAAATGGAGACAGTGGGTGAAAACCACTCTTGCAAAAAGGTCTGGCTGTGAAGTAATGAAGACGGAGGATTGTGGCTAGAGAGGTACATGGGAGCCAGAAAAATCTTCTCATTGTCCTTGTCTTCAAATGTTACACGTTAAGAGAAATGACCCAGGGGAGACAGAATGGATCACTGATAAACTGAATGAAGTTCTTGAGAAAGCACGGAATCCAAGGCACAGGTGGAAGAAGTGGTTCTGGACCACAGAGAAGGGACACCTCTTCTAAAATGGCGGAAAACGGAAGTGATGCCAGGGTGTGAAGGTAGGCTTGTAGGTTTGGTGGCCAGAAGTTGAAGAATTTGGTTGCTTCAACTTTTGCAGAGAAGTGGGGAGAGAGCTCGTCTACAGGGAGAGTGAGGAGGGTACGGAAGCCTCTGAGTTAGTTACTGGAGTCAGCTGAGGTGAGTGAGGAGACTAGGGATCCGTGGTTTGATTAGTCGGTCCCATTGTGGAACTTTCTTCATTATTATTATTATTATTGTTTTAATTTTTCTTAACGTTTATTTATTTCTGAGAGACAGAGCACCAGTGGGGGAGGGGCAGAGAGAGAGGAAGACACAGAATCCGAAGCAGGCTCCAGGCTCCGAGCCATCAGCACAGAGCCCGACGCGGGGCTCGAACCCACGCGTGGCGAGATCAAGACCTGAGCAGAGGTCAGACACCTAACCGACTGAGCCACCCAGGAGCCCCATCCGCTGTTTGAACTTCGTGCAGGAGCACTTGCTACCTGCACGCAGGTGGTGACAGGTGCATCACAGGGTGGTTCAGGAGTGGGATCTTGCCAGAAGGCTGAGATGAAAAGGCAGGAGGCAAGGGGATTTACAGTAGTGCAGCATCATTACTGAGCTAGGATCTTGGCCTCCCATCCTGGGGCCCTCGGCCAACTTCAGAAGGCAAGGGCTAGGACGGGAGGCCCGAGTAAGGTCTGACAACCCCAGGAGAATTCTCGTTTTGATACTGAGCAAATATTGACCAGGTGATTGTGAAATATAACAGAGACAGCAGTATTTTTCATAAACCCTTTGGCATTTACTAGAACATAATAGCACCATTGAGAGTAATAGTGGCACAGAAAAGCATTGCCTGCGTGAACCACACCGAGAGCTTTCTTGTACTGTGATGAGACACCAATTAGCTTAGTCAAATTTTTAAAAATGAGAGTTGCCACTGAAATTCAAGACGTTATAAACCATGTTCATTTTACCATTGGCCACTGCTTGCTATGTATCTATGCTAAGGTGGTATTTCAAAGGACTTTGCCTAAGATCTATTTACTCATTGCCAAATCCGGCAGTTAAATGCTTTCAAGGAGCAAGAAGAATAAAGCTGGGGGTGCAGGCAGGGGTAATAAAAGACTTAGGAACCAAAATTGCATTTATTCCCTCAGGCATTTAAACTACAAGGTTTAAAATAACTACTTCACCAGGAATAGCCGGGGGCCAGATGGCATCTGAATCCAGCTCCCATCTTACTAACCAGATATGTTTATTCTGCATTTGCGAGCCCTCCCAGCAGGCATCGGCCAGGACTGGGTTTCAAACAGAGAAGGAAAAGGGCCGTGGGCGTGCTCAGCAGAGCATTTTTCAGGGATATAGTGTTCTCTTCCACCCTTAGATGCCTACTATATTTATCGTAGGCAAAGTCCAGCTTTTCTATTTGTTTGTTTGCCCTTCAGAAAACACGCATCTCAAAATACTCAGGGAGCTGCTGATGCGACTTGCTGCCCGTGAGAAGTCTTTCCTTTATTTCAAATGAAGTGATTAGAGTGAATAAGGCAGTTTAGTTCATGTCTCCGAGGACGAGTTAAATAAAAGTAAGCTCCGGACAAAATTCTCCAATAACTCACAAAGAAAATTAACAAAGATACATCAAGGAATGATGTTAGCCAGCGTTCGGGCGTGCACATGTGTGCGCAAACACACACACACACACACACGCACACACACACACACACACACACAGAGTGTTCATAGGAATAACATAAATTACTTTTAATAGTGATCCACGGAGTAAACGCAATTAATCTGGAAATGGAATTGTTGGTCTTTAGGGAGGTACTCACGGTCTGACAGTAGATTATTTCACAAAGGTGGCTAAAAGACTAGCATGTATGACGGGAAGAAACCAGGCAGAGATGCCTAGAAACATTCCCAGAATGGAACTGGGAATTGGGAAAAGAGTTTAAGAAATCAGTCCAACCCTCTCCTCTGTGAAGACCTTGTTCTCCCAAACCCCTGATGGCAGGAACTATGCCTAATTTATAGATTATAGGAATTAGATCTAATTTCCTGCTGAAATGTTTTAGGCAGTATCCCCAGTGGCAGAGGAAGGGAAGGAAAATGGAAAATCAGGGTTGGTGCCAGACCCCAGGGGCCTGGATTCAACAGGAAGCGTGCAACGTGGGTCCAACGTCCTGGCTCTTTTGAAATGTGGGCGAATGACGTGTGAATGGCAGCCCTGGGTGGCATAAGAGCAATTCCTAAGAGCTCCCTCTGGGACCGAGGGACAGACCATGTACTGTTGGGCCACACAGAGGGCCAAGTGTGCGTCCGGCCAAGTGCACAGTGACCCTCTGACCACCAAACATGTACTAGCTGGGACCTGATGGCTGTTTCTCGTGCGAGCCCAACCCTCTGCCACTGACTTTAAATTCCTACCACCCTCCAGCCAGCAGGATTATACATACTTACGCTGCAAACGGCTTCGCTTTCTCTCTACTTTGACAAACCTTTGCCGAAGTCCACGTTTGATCTGAGGAAAGTCGGAATGCATGGCAGGCTGAATGAATGTGAGACATGGGTGGGTTCTGTCACTCGCCAGAGAGAGGCTCTGAGCGGCACACAGACCACACTTACCTGAGCTATGACGTCTGAGATCGAGGCACATCCCACCAGGAAACTGTATTTGTGTTTCAGGAGAATGCCGGCGTGGGTCCATGCCTGCCGGAAAGAAAAGGATTGGGCGTGAGAGACGCTGTCAGCACTGGCTCACTTCTGGTCGTTAGGATTTCCTGGGAGTTCCTGAAATAGACTTTGTACCCCCGACACCTTAGGAGCACAGGACAAATTTTCAGTTGGTCAAATGACTGGAACTTGGCCTGATGGCTAGGTGCACACAAGAGTTTTTTAAGTGGCATCCGTGACTGCACAGTATTTATTTAGGACAGATTATACGCAGGCCAGTGTACTCCTTAGGTCCCCGTGCCTGGCAGGAAAGCTGGGTGGCTACCAGGAACGGAGGAAACGCCGCCTCTCCCTCTCTGGGGCGGTCGGAGTGCCAAGGCAGAAGCGTCCTCCTTACACGAAGCATGTTATAATGAGGGCTCCAGGTTGGTTCTAAGTTATTACAGTCATTATGGGTTCTCATCAGCTGATTAGGGCTCTAATGAGGGCTCTTCTTCCTTCTTTTCAAGCCAGGGCAGGATCTGATCTGACACCTTGCTTTTGAGGGCAATTACGAGGGAGGTCCCTCTGCGGGGAGCAGACCATGGAAAGCCCGGGGAAAGGTGAGTTTGGAGGCCGGGAGTTCAAGACAGGATCTGTTGAAAGATGATCCCTCTAACCTGTAAAGGCCGATGCGGACTGACATAGAAATCACATTTCATGTGAACTAAACACAATCGGACAAATACAATTTATTCCCCTAGGTCTGTGTCGGGGCTGCACAGAGCAGCTCATCCTCCCTCAGCTCACAGGTCCCGAGGTGCCAGACGTGGAAAGAAATGCAAACCGTCGATAACGTTTGCAAATAGTGGCTTGTGGGCTATCTCTGTTGACCAAAGCCATCTGGATGGTAAGCCTTGTGGCTTTCAAATATTATCTCTCCAACCAATACAGCAGGGCCACGGTGCAGGTATGGGTGTGTAGGGGGGGAGCTTGGGGAGGGATCACCTGGCTCTTTATAAGTGCTCACCATTTTGTTCTTTTATTAGCAGTCTCCTACTGCTGGGTCTTTGGGGGCAGTTGATAAACGAAACACAGAAGTAAAGGGTGTTAATCACCAATGCTCTGGTGTCATACTGAGTTTTAGAAACTCTCTCATGGCAAATAAATACACCTGAAGGAAAATGGAACACGGGGCACGTAAGAGTCTGTGATTCGCTTTTAGTCCCGAGTCCCTGAAGTCACTGTATAACCGTGATTCTTCTACGTGTTTACAGAGTCCCCATACAGATGGTGGGTGGGCATTAGAGCAGTATCACAGATTCTGTCTGGGAAGCTGGGCTTTTACTTCGGATGTGATAAAGGTCACATCATTCAGTTCTCTGACTTCAAGCACTGTGGTGCCTCCTCAGGCCTGCGTGGCACCATGGGGAATCTGGTTTTAGGAAATCCCGCCCCTGTGCCTTTTTTCTTTCTTTCTTTTTTTTTGGGGGGGGGCAGGGGTAATGTGTCTTAAATTTCTTATTTGGGAATAAGTAAGGAAAAGAAAATCCAGGTACCAGTGCTCCAATGCCCAGATCCTCGCACCTACACTGATGTGACACCAACTGGGCATCAGGGCCTCTGTGTTGAAACTATGAGTTTAGGATTTAAGGTTACTGTGCCAACCGGTGGAAAGCCGGCAGCCATTCAGTGAGGCTGCATCAGTAACCTAACTACAGGCAGTTTGACACCGCTGATAACACTCGAGAAGAAGGACCACGGGCAATTGGCCTTGTGTCATCTCGCCAAGGATGTGGGGCGGTGGCCTCGCCTCCAGGCAGATGCCCACTCACCTCATGCGTCTACACTACATAAACCTTGGGGTGAAGGGTGGTGAAAAATTGTACAGATTAACATATACATTATTTTAGAGAGAGAAAGAAAGAGAATCCCAAGCAGGTTCCGTGCTCAGCACGGACACTGGCATGGGGCTTGACCCCACGACCTTGGGATCATGACCTGAGCCGAAATCAAGAGTGGGACGCTCAAACCACTGAGCCACCCAGGCGCCCCCATATTAACATATTTTCCCCCATATTAATATTTTTAAGTCTCCTCCTAAAAGTAATTTAAAATGGAGCCCAAAGAAGGGGTTTATTTTCCATCATTGAATATTATTGGAGCTATCTATATATAGATATAGATATATAGATTTTTTTTTTTTTTTTGGCTAAGTCTCTTTTATACCTATACTACAGAGGAATAGAAAAAAAGCATTCTCTGAGCACTCTTTAGTATCATGACAAAGGATTTAATCTATGGAAGGGAGCTGCCCTTAGTAATGTATAAAGCTGGCGATTAAAGTAATGAAATCCTACCAATATATTCAAGAGATTCTTATTCTAAAAAGATTTGGGTGGTTAAGCCACACCAATGGTAAGTTTATCAGAAAGCTGTCCTGATCCTTTGATCCTGAATATATCAGAAAAGATCTTTATAGTTAAATCAAATTTTCAAGTAGGCTCTCTGGCCTCCTGCCAGAACTTCTGACAAATACAGACAATTCTCATAATAAAACAAAGGGACAGGATGCACTGGTTAAAAGTCAACGGTCCACTGGAACCCGTCTACACGGCTGGTGGGGATGTAAAATGGTATAGCTGATATGGAAATCAGTATGAGGGTCCCTCAAAAATTAAAAATAGAATTATTACATATTACATAATCTGTCAATTTTACTTCTCACTATACACCCAAAAGGATTAAAGCAGAAAACTCAAAGAGGTACTTGTACATCCATGTTCACAACAGCACTATCAAAACAGCGACCCAGGTGTCCACTGATGGATGAATGCATGAACAAAACGTGGTCCTTGTAAAGGACACTGTGACGTGCGCTACGGCGTGGGTGAACTCTGAAGACATGAGAAGTTAGGTGAACCAGCCAGCCATACCGTCTCAGTCCACTCGTATGAAATCCCTGGAATGGTCCGATCCACACAGACGGTAGGACAGTGGTGCTAGGGGCTGAGGGGATGGGAGAATGGGAAGTTAGGGTCTGATGGGGACAGAGTCAGTTTCACGAGACAATAGGAGCTCTGGAGGTTCACGGCAATGTGAAGTTACCTCACGCCATCGGACCGTATACGTAAGAATGGCTAAAATGGTAAATTGTATGTTACGTACACCATAGTTATTTTTTAAAAAGAGCCAACGATTGATTACTCACCATGGCATCCATAAAAGGGAAGGCAGCAAGATACAGGAAGGCCCTTCTCGTTTTGTTCCCCACGGACTCGTCCACATGGTGCAGTTTATTGATAATGTAGTAACCTAAGTCACTATAAGCTGCAAGGGGCCAAAAAAGACACATGGCAATGTTAGAAAAAGTTACCTTTGCAAGCTTTTCATCTTGAAGATGCCAAACAACGTCAAATGGAACATTTGTTTTTCTGTAGAAAAATTATAAAATGCAGATGAGCCACGAGGAAAAAAACAAAACAAAAACGTCTACTATCTCATCCCCCTACCCAGAGGGGGGGGTCACGGTTAAGGCTCTGGATTCCAACTGCCCAGTTCTTTTATGGGGTGTGTGTGGTGGGCATGTGTGTGGGCTATGCATGTGTGTTTTAACATAAAAATGAGATCATACTATATATATACTCTTTTGTAAACCATGAACAGCTTTCCATGATACGCTTCCATACTAAGGTGGTTGCGATGAGTTCCTTTTTTGCAGGTTTACTTAGCATCAACTTACTCAGTCTCCTATTAGTACACATTTAGGTTGTTTCTGTTATTTTAATACTGTGTAAGCATTATATTCACCTATATTCGGATGCATGATGGATTGCTCGGAGGCTACGTGTTTATATAGAGTGTTACTTATTTACTAAGAGAAAATGCCCAGTTGTGAATATGCCTCTTCAATAAAAAATGTAAACCTAGCTTTTCACGGCTTGCCATTCTTTTTGTTTCATCCTTTGGGAGGAGCATGTGGGCACCGAGCCAATACCGGCTGAATGGATTCATAGCTGCCAAATAGACATAAAGGAAGAAAGAGAAAGGTCTTTTGAATATATTGGCTAGGCATTCTGACAGGGGTTGTTAGCAGAGATTAAATAAATTAGTGAGCTATGTTTACCTTATTGATACATGTTTAGACTATAGAGGAAGATACTAATTGTGTTTTTCATTGTATTTTACATGGAGCTTTAATAAGTCTTCCTGCTGTTTTCATTAAAAATATGAATATTAATGCATATGGATAAGTACAGAAGCTGCTGTGAAATCAGAAAGGAGATAGAATGCAGACAGAGTCTCATTTTACGTGAAATAGTAAGATCCCTCCCCCCCTTCAACGTTTGGGCGATGACTTAAAACCATATTAACTGATAATAAGAAGAAGCTGATCATTAACAAATAGCCCTCCATCCTTTTTCAGGATGAGGCTTGAATCACGGGAATTTTGAAGTCAGCCAGGTCTTTGGGACGATATCGAGGATGTTCAGATGCACAAATGGGAATCCCAGAGGGGGGAGAGGTGCGCGTAAGTGATTTTAAGGGGTAGGGGGGTGGGATGGTTAAGACATCCGGAGCACAAGGTGAGGGGGGCAGTGCAGGAGGAGAGGCCAGAAACCCCCAGGGGGGGGGGTCAGAGGTGAAAACCAACTGGTGAGCTGCCAGGTGAGCAAACACGTCAGGTGTGGAGCATGGTGGGGCCAGCAGAGACACTGAGGCAGCAAGAGGGCATTCCAAGAGGCAGGTGTCCAGGGGCAGAAAGAGAAAAGACTCGGGAAGGTGGGACAAGGAGGGAAGGAGGCGGCTATCTTCTCCAAATTGGGGTCAGAGCCACTGGATTAGACCAGCAGGCTAGAGAGGGCTTGGTCTGACCCAGGCTCCAGAGGGAGGGAGGCGGAGGAGAGGGAGCCAGCCAGCCTGCCTTAGGCGGCAGTCAGGTGAGCCTCGACCATCGGAGAGCGAGTCCGATCTGTGCAACAAGACAGAGCGGAAACACAAGGACCAGATGAGTGTCCCTTGCTCACGGAGATGGAGTGAGCTACCTGGAGGCCGCCGAAACTTAAGGTCTCGAAGTTGTCTGATTGTTCCTGCTGTTTATCTGTATGTTTGTTTCATTCGGTCGGGAATCGACCACTGTGCTGGGACCTACCAGGAGGCGACCCAGCCCCTGCCTGCAGAGTGCCCCCTCCTGGCGGGTGAGGACAGCTGGGCTGGGTAGGCAGAGATCTTGGTGCTCGCGCATGGCTGCTAGAATAGCTTGGCCTGCTGGCTGACATTCTGGGGTAAAGGTTAGAGCCCACAGACAATTCCAGAGTGCACTTGACTGGACTCTGAGACCGGGGAAGGCCGAGATCCAGAGGGGCGGGGTGCCGGGCAGAGCTGCGTGTCCCCTTGAATTCGTATGTAGAGTCCCCTCCCCAGGACGGCAGAACGGGACCTGATTGGCGACAGGGCCACCGCAGATATAATTTGGTAAGATGAGGTCACACGGGAGCGGGGGGGGGGGGGGGGGGGGGGGGGGGGGTGTGGCTCCCAACGCAGTATGCCTGGGGTCCTTCTAAAAAGGGGAAATGTGGACCCAGAGGTGGACGCGCACAGGGAGAGCGCCACGCAGACATGAAGCTGGAGATGGGGGTGATGTCCCTGCAGCCGCAGGAAGCCCCAGGTCGCCCTCAAACCACGGAGGCCAGGAGAGAGTCCCAGAAGGGAGCTGCCGTACTGCCGGCTTCATCGTGCAGCCTCGTGAACTGGGAGACCGTGCGTTTCTGTGGTCTTGGCCTCCCGGTCTGTGCCGCGTTGTTAGGACGGCCCTGGCAGAGTCACACGGGCGGCCTCCAGGAAAACAGGAGCCAGAATTCTTTTCCTCCCTGGGACCTGTGAGTTTGAGCGCTTGGGAGGAGGCCCCGGGGGCAGAGATCAATATAAGTCAGCTTCTCCACCTTCTGTACGTTGATCTAAAGGTATCTATTAGGTATTTATTTATTTATTTATTTAATTTATAATGTTTATTTGTTTCTGAGAGAGAGAGAATGAGGGAGGGACAAAGAGAGGGAGTGAGAAGATCCCAAGCAGGCTCCGCGCCGTCGGCATGGAGTCAGATGCGGGGATCGAACCCATGAACTGTGAGATCATGACCTGAGCCGGGCTCGGACCCTTCACGGACTGGGCCACCCGGGCGCCCCCCTATTAGACTCCTTCAACGAAAGTATCAAAAATAGCGCCTTGATGCAGGACAATGGAGAGTGGACAGAAGGACGGCTGGGTGGTGAGCTCAGTTGCCAGGCTTTCTGCCTCTGCCAGGACCAGGCCTCTCTGCCCCTCCCACTCCCTTGCTTTTCTCAGCAGGCAGCTGGTGCTGGGCTCCTCCCTCCCGGCCTCCAGGCTCCAGGGGACTTTGGGACCTAGGGGCTGGAGGCCCCTTTGGCTTGTTTTTACTTCTCCTCCTTCAGCTACTTCTTACCTCTCCTCCTCCTCCTCCTCCCCCACACAGAGAAGAGTCTGATTGTAACTACAAAGGCTGTTGTTTCCACCCTGTGAGTTGGGAATATAAAATCCCAGCAGCTGTTTTTCACCCAATTCCCCCTCCCTCCCTCCCTCCTGTGCCCCTGAGCAGTTCCTGGCTGGAGTTGTCCGCTGGGGGTAATTTGTTTCAAGTGCTTTGCATAGAGTCCATAATTACCAGGCTGGCCGCCTTCACCTTTCCTACCCCTCAGCTTCTATAAACTGCCCTACCTGGATTGTTCTGAAACAGCTCATACTCCTGATGAAGAGCAGAACGTTAAAAGGAAGAACTCAACAAGGCTTTTGAAGAGATGTAAACAGATTTCATGGGGTGGCTGCAGCAGAAGGACTTGGCCTTGGCCCTTTTATAGGCAGGCAGCTTTTGACCCCACCCAAACAAGAAGAAACCGGAAGGGTCATTCAGATCCCTAGCTCTCCTGCCCTCGGCCCACCAGCGTGATGGACCCCTGTCGAGAATCAGTGGCTCTTCAAGCTTAGTCATCCAGGACTTAACTAGCACTTGTTGCAAAATGCCACGAAATATTAATATGAATCCAAACAAGTCTATATACCTAGATTTTCCCATGGGAACTGAGCAGACAGCCCTCCTCCCAATCAAGTAACATGACAATATGTGTATTTCCAAGAGGCAAATTTGAGAACCCTTATTCTCATTCAAATTCCCAAGTTCCCATGCTTAAAAGTCTTACTTGTACTGATTAGGTTGCTAGGTTCGCTATTTACTAGGCTTTTCACACGGCAGGTAACTTGACCCCTGTGCTTCTAATGAATCATTTCAAAGTGTGTGCTTTTATGGCCAGTATTTAAGTCACCTCAACACATGCGGGTGAATGACATCTGCATCAGGCACTATGCCAGCTAACTCCACTGTGAAGAGGCTGGTTACCTACGTGGGGGCTGGAACAGGGACATAGGACACAGCCCTCTAGAATCTGCACTGTGCAACATTTACCTGAAAGATTTGGGCGTGGGAGGTACAAACACTGCTCAGGCCTTAGAGATGTATCATAAACCCGTGCATAAAGTCAGTAAAGTAAATGTGAAATCTTAACACAAGAACATGAATTCTATCTCATCGGTATCAAGACTCCGTGGAGTGGAATTTGTAATAATTTACTGTACGATATCTTGCTTCTCTCTAAAGAACATGCCTTATTCATATCTGAATGCCCAGGATCTAGCCCACTGTAGGTGTTCAATACATGTTGACTGAATAAATGCACGAATCCACCATCTCCCAAAGAAGTGTTTGGGGGAGACTGATTGCAAAATGTCCCTGATTCTTCTCTCCTCCTTATATCCCTTATCTGCTATGTGATTTTGTAGTTCCTCCGGTGAAAAGTTGGAGTCTATATTCCCTACCCCTTTGAACGTGGGCTGGCCTGGGATTTGTCTTGGCCAGTCACGTGCAGGGGCCGTGACGGTGCCCCTTCCAATTCTTGGCCTCAAAAGGCCTTGTGGGTCTCTATCTTCTCACTTGGGTTATTGCCACAGCTGTGCACACAAGCTCAGGCTGGTGGAAGAGGGCTCAGCTGTCCCATCGGAGGCCATCTGGAGCAGCCTACTATTGGCTGACGTCCCCCAGTGAGCCCACCAAGATCAGCAGAGCCTCCCCCTGAGTCTCCACTGACCACAAAGGCATGAGCCACCAAGTCCAAAAGAACCACCCAGATGGCCCATGGTCTGGTGAGCCAAGAATAAATGCTGTTTTGAGTCACTGAGTATTGGGGTGGTTTGTTATCTCGTCATACACTTCGTGACTGTGCTGAAACTGTCCATTTCTAGCACCCTTGCTGGTTTAAATTATATCAAGTTGTACCCTTTTACCTTTACAGGGCTGGTCTATAATCCATGAATAATGGAGAAGCTTACCGAGAGGGGAAGACTGACAAATGGAACCACTCTAGAAGTTACTTCAATTGCTCCCCATAGGAGCATAGGAACTTGTTCCCCTGAGCTCTGCTGACTGCCCAGGCTGGAACACGCAAGACGCCTTCCAGGGCACTGTTGAGAATAGATGCGTAAGGAAATAAAACATCCACAGCAGTGGTGTCTCCGTCGGTGGGAATTAGGAGGTCAGGCAAATCTAACTTCACGCACGTGAAATTAACTAGGACTCCAATGAACCCACATACAGGGTCAGCAAGTTTTCCTCTCTTTTATAGATTAATTAAGAGGGGGAGGTGGAAAACACCTACACCCTGACCACTGGCCTAAATTAAGGTTTGGTGTGGCAAATCCCACGCCCTGCCATTTAAAAAAGTGATGTCTCATCCATGAGCCCAAGACAACAGTAGTGGCTACAATTTAGCTAAAATGAGACACTTATTGGCAACTTCTAACAAAGAAGCTAGAAATACTCCCAAGCCTTCTGCAACGTGGAGATGTAGAGCCAGGCTCTGGGGCACACAGAACAGACTCGAACTCCTGGGCCGGTGGATCCTCTAGACTTCGAAGTCTGTCAGTCCAACAAAATTCCAAGTGTCTACGCAAAACAATCGTTAAATACATCTGGGATGCGGAACCATTCTGATTCAAATCTAAGATTTTTATCGATTTTAAAATTGAAAATTTTAGGTTGCATTTGAAAAATGAGGCTGATTTTTATGTCAATGATCCCTTGTTCCTTGTAACAGTTTCGATAACACAGGACACTCAGCTTTTTTCTTCCATGACTACTGACGGCTAGTAATTAGCCTTCAGTACCGAAGTCTTGTTCAGCTATGACAAAAACAGGGAATGTTAGGGTTATTCCGAAACCCAAATAAAAACTGGTGGCCAAAGGGAACTGATTTACCCATTGAAACAAAAATTTATCTAGACCTATTTATTTCTCTCTGTCTTGCTTGTCTTTATTTTAGGAAGCAGAGAGGGGCAGATAGAGAGGGAGAGAATCCCAAGCAGGCTCCGCACCGTCAGCGCAGAGCCCGACGTGGGGCTCGAACTCAACTCATGAACTGTGAGATCCTAACCTGACCCGAAACCGAGAGTCGGATGCTCAGCAGACCCAGGTGCCCCTAGACCTACTCATTTCCTGTATGGAATTTTCTCAAAGGCATACGCCATCTTTGAAAATGGTCCAGATCAAATCTAGCTGCCGAAGCTTTCTTCAAAGCACAGTCCACGAGTTAGCATTCAGGGCCTGAGCTGAAGGAAAAAGAGCATCTCCTCCGCCCAACCCCAGGCCCTGAAGCCCCCAGCCCAAATTAAATGGTCAATACCAACACTTTGGCTGAACACCCGGACCCTAGCAGCACCTTCTCATTGTCTCACACTGCTCTCAGCACAAGCCTCTGGGCTACATTCAAAAGGAAAACCCAAAAGGCCTCCCACCCTTTACTTTCACAGTCATGTAAGTAAACATTAGCTGCCGTCTGAATACAAGGTGAAGGGTTTGGGTTAATCTTCTGGCTCCTTTATTCACCACTGACATTCATGATTCTCATAGAGCCAGTGCTGTTTTGAAGGCACACAATGGGTTTACGAGCTGTTATTCACGGGTTTTATGCAACTGGGCTCAATACATGTGCCACTCAGTTTTTATGCCTCCTAAGCTGAGCTGTTTTAAAAGCCGAGGAGGAGCTCAGAAGTCATGCTCTTAGAATTTTATCACCACCAAGAAGGCAGAAGCAGGACTCGGCCTCCCAAGCAAGTGCTTTTCCAAGGTCTCGGTGAAACCCGCACGCTAGTCGCTATATATATGATGCGGCCTTTTTTCACGGAAAGAATGTTATGCCACAGTATTTAGTCTTGTCTTTGAATATGATTAGAATAACGAGGTCCTCAAATAAGTTAATTTTAATATGTTAAACAATCTCATTTGTTCTCTCTGCCGATGAGCATTAATCCTACATAACAACCGTTCTATTTTTCTGTTGAAGGTTGAGTCTCTGTAGTAACGTGTCTCTCTCAGGAAGCACGGGCCATTTCGTTGAACTGACGGAAATGATCTGCTCTCTGACCCAGGGTTTGGGAGTCAAGAAATTACAATGAGGGCTTCCCAGAGAAAACACATTTTCTTTTCTTGCGCTAGGAACACAAACTCCATTCCTTTCAGCCCTTGAAACTTTTCATGACAGATGTTTGGTAATTGCCAAAGAAATCGCGAATGTTCGAATCGATGGAAAGGAACAACAGACGACAGGGCGGTCGGCAGCCTTACCTATCAGGGTGTGGAAGACGGCGGCGATGGCACCGGCCACGACCATGCACAGGACAGCCTTGGTCCTGTCTCGCTTGCTGTTCACAAACACCAGGCCCACGTTTTTAAAGTCACTCATGGGACCCGTGAAGAACTTCATGAGTGAGTACGCCAGCCCGTAGCTGGCCAGCATTTCCACCGCATCTTCCTTAACAGCAGCAATGCCCCGGTTCAAGGCCTGTGGAGGGGGAAAGACAACCCACGTGAGAGATGTGGTCCCATCTCCCAGGAATCGTACTTCCAAGACGAAACTTGGCAGATACGTTTCTATAGAAACGCTAAGCAGCTTACGGGGTAAACCTCACTGTAATTTGATCACGGTTATTAGTTTTCATTTTCATCCCTATTAGCTTTGGTTTGAAATACCTTCTTGTAGGGGAGATCCCTGCCCGGTGGGGTTAAAGTCAGAGAGAAAAACCCAATAAGCTTTTTATGTTAATATCAGAAGATGATTCTAAGAAGTTTTGGTTAAAACCTCAACAGGTTACATTTTACTTGTAGGCTGAATCTCAATGACGGCGACAGGCATTCTGGAAATGAGTCAGCCACTTTGTAGGGGGGTGGGTGATGGTTTCTTTCTTTCTTTAAGGAAGGGGTGTGTGTGCATGCCCGCGTGTGCGTGACCACGCACGCGTGCATGTGCACCCATAACCTGAAAAACCGTCTACGTGTTATGGAGGTACCCTTCCTTGAACAGAGCGAATTCTATGTTATGAACAAAAGTATTGAAGGAGCAGATTATATCCTTGACGGATGCTATTTACCCGATTCTTATTGTATTTGAGCTTGGAATGTGTTCCTGAACTCTGTGCAAACAAATATAAGAAAACCTTTAAACCAAATACCCTGGTTTTGGATATTGCTTGCTCAAGAAGTTGTGGTCACAGAATATTCTGATCATGTTAACCATCCTCCATGATGGACCCTCTGAGGTACCAGTGGCCTTGTCAGCATGGCATTTCCAAACTTACTTTCCCACCTGCTAGACAAATTACACCAGAGATTCTGGGAATGGATGTCTAGGTGGGGAGAATTTTTTATTGTTTATTTATTACTTATTTTTAAACGTGTACCTCTTTATTTTTGAGAGAGAAGAGAGAGAGAGCACGCACACAAATGGGGACGGGGCAGAGAGAGAGGGAGACACAGAATCTGAAGAAGGTTTCGGGCTCTGAGCTCTCAGCACAGGGCCCGATGTGGGGCTCAAACACACGATCCGTGAGATCATGACCTGAGCCGAAGTCCGATGCTCACCTGACTGAGGCACCCAGGCGTCCCTAGGTGGAGAGAAAATTTTTTAAAGATGTCACCAGGGCATCACCTGCTCTTTAGGAACAGGAAATGTTAAGCAGGAGAGTCAGCTGTGTAGTTTTATACATATAGAAACAGATGTAGTAAAAGCATGCACAGTAAGCTTCGATTGCCCAGCAGCTCTTTCAAAGAGGCATCGTCCACTTCCAAGAAAACTATCTTGAATAAACACATTGCCAGCCACAGGAATAGATAAAGAACCAGACCACCTTCCCCACCACTAAGGCTCTTCTGTTTCAGAGATCTTAGTTGATTTCATAACTGACCATTTGGGCCACTTGTCATTTCTCTTCCCCATGCTTTAAATTCCTGCCCTTACGTCTTAAATTCACCAATAAAGAATAAGCCCGTGAAACCCTGGATCCCCTCGCTTGACCCCAATAAAAGCAGAATCCCAGGCCCATGGATGCCGGCACGCTCCCCCTCTCCCCCCACAACATCTCGACCTCACTGGATAGCCTCAGGTGTGCCGTGCAATTTCCGGGTCTTGTAAGTAATAAACCTTTATATTTTCAAAGTTTCCTGATGGTTGTTGCTCAAGGGCGTCTGGCAATCATAATAAGATCCACAAGGGTGGGCCCAGTAGTAATGCCGATTTTGAAAGGGGGAGAGGAGGTTCACTGGGACCCAGGTGAGTGCCTTCAAGGCATTTCTAGCCCCTGGCATTACTATCGATAGGCTAGATCAGCACAAAACAATAGACTTTATTTTTTAGAGCAGTTTTTTTTAAATTTTTTTTTAACGTTTTTATTTATTTTTGAGACAGAGAGAGACAAAGCATGAACAGGGGAGGGTCAGAGAGAGGGAGACACAGAATCCGAAACAGGCTCCAGGCTCTGAGCTGTCAGCACACAGCCCGACGCGGGGCTCGAACTCACAAACCGTGAGATCACGACCTGAGCCGAAGTCGGCCGCTTAACCCACTGAGCCACCCAGGCGCCCCTAGAGCAGTTTTAAGTTCACAGCAAAATGGAGCAGAATGTGCAGTTGCTGTAGTCCCTTTGCCCCAACACACACGGCATCCCCCGCTATCATCCTGTGCCAGTGTGGTGCATTTTTACCATCCATGAACCTCCAATGATGCATCATTATCACTCAAAGCCCATAGTTTACATTAGAGTTCACACTTGGGCTGTACATGCTAGGGGTTTTGACAAATATATTTGTCTAATGCTGTGTATACACACACACACACACATATATGACACGTATCCATCATCATATAGTTGAACATTCTATGCAAAGCACTGTTAGCAAAAAAAAAAAAAAAAAAAAAAAAAAAAAAAAGTATTTATAGGAAAATACCAACGTGTAAAATAGCTTTAGAAAAATCTAGGAGAAAAATATCTATTTGCTGTAGGAATTCAGTGTCATTCTTCTGACAAGGTTGGTATCATATAAGCTAGTTTTTGAAACCTGTTTCCAATTATATGCCTAATCCTCTTTTCCTTTTTTCCCCCAATAATACCTTAAAATTTTCCATAAAAACCTTCTTAGCCTTTGTGGAACATACCTGCCATGATGCCTTCCTTAGAAAAAATTTCCCTTCTAGCAAAGCTGATGTAATACTTTAATACCCTAACGCAAAATAAAAATCAAGAAGTTCCTTGATAACAAATCCTGTGTTTAATAGCACATCTAGTCAGAGGGTCCTGTTATGTGTCACAATCTATCACTCGATGATCTCCCAAATTAAATTTTTTTTGGATTTCTGCAGTGGAAGCTGTTGTGTGTCCTACTCAGACCCTCTACTGGGTAGTGCACCTGTCCCTAGGTGCAGGAAGTTGGCCATTAATGGCTCAAAGCTGCCTCCCCCTCAGGGAAAATTGCCCCCAGCCACTTTGGGTTAGAGGAGCCACACCAGAGCCCCAGGTGGCACGCAGACAATGGCTGGCTGACACAGGGGTATGAAAAGATCAGGTCCCCTGCCGCAGGGTGGGGTTGCTCTGGATAGAAATCCAGAGCTCCCTGTGGGGTCGGGTGGAAGCTAGTCTCCAGTGGAGACAACCTCCTTGCTTACCTTCTCTCCCCTCCCTCCATGGCTCTCCTCCCCTCTCCCTGAGAGTGCTCGCCCAACAAATCACTTGCACAAGAATTCCCCAGCGTGAGTTCTGCTTCCAGAGACCCCCAACTTGGGATTGCTCTCATTATGTTTCCCTCAGACTTTGAGACCAGCGTACAGCTTATTCTTTTTTCTTCCCGTCCTTCCCAAAATCTATGGCTGGGAATTGTTCATTGTTTTATTGCTAAAAATGTTCGTTGACATTTAAACGATATATATTATTTAGCACAAGTTTAAAAAGCATACAGGAGGGCATGTAAATAATGTAGACTTAGACTTTTTTTTTAATGTGTCTTGTTGGCAAAATCTTATTCTGTTTTCAATTTTTTTTTTACCGTTTGTTTATTTTTCAGAGCGAGAGACAGTGCGCGAGTGGGAAAGGGGCAGAGAGAGGGAGACACAGACTCTGAAACAGGCTCCAGGCTCTGAGCTGTCAGCACAGAGCCAGACATGGGGCTCAAACTCAGGAACCACGAGATCATGACCTGAGCTGAAGTTGGACGCTTAACCGACTGAGCCACCCAGGCTCCCCGGCAAGGCTTCATTCTTTGCTAAAAAGACATCAGTCCTGGCTGGGGCGCCCACTGTCATGCTTTCTATTGCCACCAACAGTTCCTTGACAGAGTCCTAAATCTAGGGTTGAGGAGGTGACAGGCAGGGAGGGCACAGGGGACAACAGCTCTGTCAGCAAGACTGAGTGTGAACACCCCACTTAGGTCAACAATCACAGTAATTTGAGGAAAGTGCACAGGGTTTAGAGCCACACAGACTTCGAGCTGGACGCGCTTGTATCACTTAACTACTGAGCGGCATTGGCCAAGGTACTTACTCTCGCCGAAACAACCCGGCTGATCTTAGTTTGGATGTAAGTGGTGTAGAGGACACCAGGCAGTGACTGGCCTAGAGAAGGCACTTCACACTTGTCTATTTTGTTTACCACTCTCTACCCGCCCCCTCACGACATCATAAACTCTCAGATGGCTGTTCAATGAATGAAGCATTTTCTACTAGGAACTTTAATGTTCCTATGAATTTTTATGAACTTAAAAAAATTGCATTTTGATGATAAGATGCTATTACTTGTAAGATATACCACTGATTCAACATTTTTCATGACCGCATTAAACGTACACAGAGAATGAAGAACATTCTAATTTCAAGAAACATGAAAACACAAGGAAAAGAGAACTTTACAGTTGAGGGCATGTGCTCTATTCATATCATTAGCCTTTTTATGGTTCCCATTTATCTCAAGTATTTCCCTCAATTTGTTCACATCCTAACTTCCTGATTTTCTTTTGATACCCCAGATAATGAGTTATATGGAGTCCGTCAATCATTTCATGGAGTTTCTTCCCATACTTTTGGACTTGGCCATTCTTACCCATCCAGAGGTTGGGTAACTAACTAGAGTAACTAGAATGTTACTCTGGTTGATGGTTTCATTTGTACGCTTACCTTTTAATCCTCCTGGAACTTAGGCAGTGAGATACGGCTCAAAATTCACTTTCTCGAAAATAGTTTATTTCTTCAACACCGATTTGAACGAAATACCCACCGCCCACTTACTTGTGATGCGTTCTTTCCAGTAATTCATCCTTCCCTATCCTTCCACCGCCTGCTGTTGGCTTCACCTGTCTCAATTTGCTTACCCCGTTTTTCTTCAGAGCACATTCCTTACCTGACATTATATAATTTATTTGCTTTTTATCTGTCTTACTGTCTATCTTCTCCATTTGAATGTAAGCTCCAGGGCACAGAGAACTTTCTCTGGCTCTCTATACATCCCCAGACATGCCACATGAGGGGATCACATGATAGGTAATCTCGGTAACTGTTTGAAAGAATGAAGTAAAACGAGGGGCTCCTGGGTGGCTCAGTTAAGCGTCCAACTCTTGCTTTTGGCTCAGATCATGATCTCACAGTTCATGAGTTCAAGTTCATGGGGCTCTGTGCTGACAGCATGGAGCCTGCTTGGGATTCTCTCTCTCTGCTCCTCCCCCACCTCCAAAATAAATAAATAAACTTAAAAAAAAGAATGAAGTAAAACATATAAAAGCAGTACAAGCATTTACTGGGCTAGGTACTGAAGAAACAAAGCATGCTAATGAACTAGGACTCCTAGGAGAAACTTATTCGGGACTAGACAAGGAAACCCCTCCAAGGAGGTGACAAATGGAGGCCGAAGAATAAGAACGAACCAGCTGGATGCAGAGCTGGAGGAAGCCCGTAGGCTGCAGGAGGGCTTGGTGTTTTAGGGAACAGAAAGGAGGCCAGTAAGAGTGGTGGGGAGGGGGATAAAGGGAGTTTGGGAAATTAGGCAACGCTGATGTCATTCCGGGTCATGGCGAGGAACAGGTGTTTTGTTCTAAGAGCAGTGGGAAGCCATTACAGGGTCTGAGCAGAGGGAGGACAGAGGCTCAGGCTGGCTATGCGGATGAGGGTGGACTGGAGAGGGAAGGGCAGAAGTTCAAAGCCAAGAGTCTGTGGTAATCCAAATAAGAGACAGCGATGGCTCAGGCCAGGGCGGGATAGTGGAAATGGGTAGAAGCAGATTGACTTGAGAGCGTTCTGGAGATAAAACAAACGGATCTAGTGAGGGACCACCTGGTGGGCATGAGGACAAGGGAGAAATCAAAGCCGACCACTGAGTTTTTTGGCTTGAGCCACTGGTCCTGTGGTGCACCTGTTTCCTGAGATGAAGAGACTGGGGAGGCGGGAAGGTTGGGGAAGGAAAAGCAAGAGCTCCATCTGGGTGTCCCCCCATTGGATTGGAGATGCCCATTAGAATTCCAAATGGACAAATCAGGTAAGGATGCTGGCTAGGTGAGTCTGGAGTCTACGGCAGACGTCTGGGCTGTGGACCCTCATTTGGAGGCCGTCAGTTACGGACGGTATTTAAAGGCAGGACCCTGAACGAAATAATCTAGATAGCCTATAGATAAAGAGGGGTCCAAGAGTCAGCCCTGGAGCACTCCAGAAATCAATTTAAACACATCCAGGAGGGGGCAAGCTCTCCATGTGCTACAGGTGCTGTAACTATACTGCAGTTCAGCATTAGTTTGCTTACAGGTACCGTTCTGGCCGGGGCATTCCGAGTGCTGCTCTTATCTCCAGCCAAGACCGGGAAGAAGAGCTAGGTGCTACGGCTGGCAAGCAGACTTCAAGATGGTCTTGCAGTTCAGCTAAAGTGGTGTCTGAGTTGGCCTTGGGATGAACTAGACCTCGAGCCAGAATTCCGTCGTAACGACAGAGGTTCACCTGCTGTTTAAAGGCAAGTTCCTAAACCTTCATGAGCTTTCCACGGCAAAGACACTTCACTTTAGATCAGGGCCAGGTCTAACAGGAGTCCAACCGTTGTAAGTACAAAGCTGCCTTTCAATCACAGCCTGGTCCTGGTCCCAGATGGCCTGGCTCGGGGCCTTCCTCACACTTTCGATCCGTGGTCTCTGCACGGTGGACGCTCAGCAACATGGAATGTGTGACTTAAAAACGGGTCTGGGTCCAAAAGGCATTCAGTGGCTCCTTGGTGTCTTAGTATCTTCCCAGGGCCTGCCAGGTTCATGGTGTTCCGTTGCCTGATTTTTTTTCCTCCCAGAAAGTTATCAAAACTACAGGATATTAAAAAGTAAAACACAAAAACAAAACAAAACAACCCCCAGGGAAATGGCTAACAAATCCCACATGTGATCTCCCTGATACCAACAGTCTTAGACCCTTAAACCCTAGAAGAGATGCTGACATTTTAAACTCAGGCTCTAGAGACCAGAAACATCTCTACACTGCAGACTGAGATTCTCAGACCGAGAGTCACCAACTCACCCCGATCCCGCGGTCATTTATTTATGGCAATCGAACAGCAAGATTCCTTGCTAAGCATCTCTGTCCTGCCTCATTTCCTCTTACTCAGCAGAGAACCTCACCTCTTACTTCAGCTGGAACATGAAATCCATCAGAAATGAGATTTCTTACTGCTTCTCTCCCTAAAACAAACCTCAACAAAACCTATCTGCCCAAACCCTTCCTCACCATTTCTGTCCTGTTACAATGGAAAGGCCAGTCTGACCAGGGTGACTATAGGACTATCGACCTGGGCTCTGCACTTAAGTCCCCCCTGACCTTGACAGGAGCCCCCATCTTCCTCTTGGGCTTGTCTGATCCTTTGCCACATGACTGGCTCTTTCCCATCAACAGTTACGCACGCATAAGTGTTTTCCATCTTAAAAATAAGCCCTCTCTTGACTCCTCGCTTCTTCGAGTTACCACCTTCTTTCTTGCCTTCCTTTCATAGACAACTCCTAAAAAGTGTTACCTGCTTTCATCATTTCTACTTTTGTTCTTCCCATTTACTCCTCAGCCTGTTAGAACACCAGCTGCAAAGGTGCAGGAACCTTATCCGTATCCCAGAACCACAGTCATAACATGGTCTGGTCATATTACAAGTGGTCAACCAACAATGGTTAGTTGAATGCACCTGCTGGGTCCTGTTTTCTGTCTTCTGCCCCCTTCCCTGCACACGCTCTTCCTGCTAAACCAAACTGGCCCTTTTCTGTCCTGACCCTTCTGACCCCTCAGCGGATCGGACCCTGGTGCCACTCCCTCTTTGAAATGCCTCTCCCACCACTTGGCTTCAAGGGCATTGTGGTTTCCGGTTTTCTTCCTCTCTCTCCTGCCTCAGCTTTTCTCTCGGTGCTTCTCCATTTGTGGTTGCTTCAATATTGGTGTCCCAGGGGTTTGTCCGGGCCCCTCACCTCTTCTCACTCTTGCTCAGTGATTCCCACCCCCTCCAGTCCCAGACACTTTCTGTCTGCTCAGGATCCTCAGATCCATCCCTCTAGACTTCTTAGACTTCTCTTCGGCTCTAAACCCACTCATCTCCACTGAATGTCTCCCTGGCACCTCACGTTCCACACTGCCAAAACTTGAGTTCAGCATCTATAGACTGTGGGCTCCTATAGACCCACCTCCTCTCAGACTCCCCGGGTGAATGCATGCGCCCAGGGTTCCCAGCCAGGAGCCGCAGGAGCAAGCTCCCCGGGTGCCTTTTATCCCTCACTTGCACAGATTTCTTGGTCCCATCCCTACTCCTTCCCCAGCCACGCTCCCCAGTCCAGTTCTCTCCAGCCCCACTGCGATGCCTTGCGTCAAATCACGGATGGTCTTCCAGCCCCAAGCCATCCTCCCATCCTCTATACTGCGGTCAGATCGTAAAAATCCGAGTTACTGAATGTGCACTCAACGTGCTTCAGGGCTGCCCCCTGTACTTAGACCACGATGTCCACAAACATTGCTGTAAGTGTCTGCAACCGCGTCTGGCACATGGTGAGCCAGCATCCAATAACTATCCGGGCAGTGAGTGAACAAGTACAAAGGCCATTCATGATCTGATCCCGCTTGGCATTCCCTCTCGCCCTGTGTGCTTCATGAAGCCTAAACTGATTGTAGTTTTCTGGATATACCACGCTCTCTCTCACCTAAGGGCCTCTGCTCGAGCTTTTTTTCCCTGCACAGAATCGCCTTTACCCCGTCCCACCCCACTCCCCTGGTAAACTTGTCATCAGTTGAGGAATCACATTTTCTGGGAGGCTGTCCCTGGAGCCTACCCCTCTCCTCTGTGCTCCACGGCGGCCTGCACGGCCCCTGGACCTCACGACTTCCCCCATCGGTGTGGACTGTGCTTGCCTGTTTACCAGACCACTTGTCTGTTCACCTGACTACTCGAGGCAGGGACAGGGCTCACCTGTCACCAGCCTTCCTCCATCCATTCAGCACATGCAGCACACGCTTGAAAATCCACAGGTGAACACACGAATGTTTATTTGCACGTACTTGTACGTGCATCACTTGTACGTCTAGCATGGTCACAAACAAACCCCTCCAGCTGTAGGTTTGGGTTTCTGGGTAAATAAAAACTATTTTTGGTAGAATCTACATACTTGAAAGATGCAGACTGATGACCGTGGCTTGCACACAGCCTTGTAGTTCTGACATTTCTCAAGAGATGGGCAAGGCCTTCCCGTGTTATTTCTATTATGCCTCACGGGGCACCCAGTAGGCATCGGACAGAGGCTGGCCTGCTGAACGGCAGACACACGGACATAAACAGAAGGCAACCTTGGGCCACATAATTAGCCTCTTGAGTGTCAAGTTCAAGCAAAGATCTTTTTCCGGCTCGCTTCTTTCACATCCCGTGGATGTCATCTGGGATGTAGGACAAACTGTGCCTCTACAGAGGCAAATCCCGTAACAGAAGTTAGTTGCCATGAGGAGGAGATTAGGAGTTTAGAGTCAAAGGGCAAAAGAACCTCTGCCCGCAGCCTGGTGAAGCGGGAGAGGAACCGTGCCAAGAGCTGGGCGTGCCACAGACAGGTAACCGGAGTAGTGATCTCCAAATTTCGAACGATGGGGGCTTGAAGAGGCAACAAGGCGTCCAGAGGGAAGGCCACACGATTCCAGAAGTGCCAAGGCCCTGTCAGAACCTGACCTGAGAAGCGACATGCATGGCCACACGGTAAACCCATGATCATGTTGCTCATAAAGAAAGAGCTTTCAAATTCTTCTACAAACGGGTGTTGAGTCAGAAACTGGTATCATTCCCTAAAATAGCAAGAGATTATTACATGAAATGCTGAAATACCTACTTCTTTTTTTTTTTTTTCCTTTTGGTAAGGTGGATACTTCCTTCACTTGCCTCATCCTGGATTAGAAAAACAAATGGGACACGGGGCTAGGTCACAATTCTGTTTTGCTAGACTCATCGTTTTCATGAAAGACTTGGTCTATAGCTTCAACGACCCTGTTAACACCTTTTACGACCCGAAGCAAACTCACAATTGTCGCGACAGATGCAGCTTAAAAATCCTCCTCAAACCCAGGGTCCTCAGACAAGACGTGTTTGCGAAACTATGGAAAATTCAGAAGCATACGTGCAGGCAAAGCTACCTGTGGGAACAGCTTCTCTCGGTGGCATGGATGATCAGCATCCGTGGATTTCAGTCCTCTCAAAGAGTCTAGGTTCCTGTAATTTTCCACTGTTATTGTTCTGTTCGTCTGTATTTTAAAAAGTGGTTTGGGTTAAATTAGATCATTTGTCTTCCCGGTAATTTTCCAACCATGTTTTATTCTCCCAAGGATCTATACACCACTCTAAATGAGACACCCTCGCTCTGTTTAGCTGGCACTCCAGCCAAGAACCTGACACCCACACATGAGGTTGTGGTTTAAAGGGAGCTGCAGTAAAATGAAGCCTGGTCTGGTCTCTCGCTAAGCAGTCAAAGTCATTGCTCTGTGCAGTGCCCTCCACATTTAGTGCTTCCTGAAAACACACAGACAAGACGGGGCAGGTCCAAAATATGACACGGGCGTTCTCTGTCGCTTCCCATGACTGCAGGAGAGTTTCTATAAAGAACAGAGACAAACTATCAAGCAGGTATGAAGTGCGGCTAACTCAGTTTTCTCTTGTTGCTTTCTTCAAGAAAAAAGGGAGCAGAAAAAAAACATTTTACTTTTTGGCCTCTCAACTGGAAACATGTTAGCTCGTTAAAAGACATACTTCAGGGGCGCCTGGGTGGCTCAGCCGGTGAAGCGTCCCGACTTCGGCTCAGATCATCATCTCGCCGTTCACGAGTTCAAGCCCCACGCCAGGCTCTGTGCTGACAGTTCAGAGCCTGGAGCCTGCTTCGGATTCTGTGTCTCCCTCTCGCTGCCCCTCGCCCGCTGACACTCTGTCTGTCTCCCTCTCAAAAATAAATAAACATTAAAGAAAATAAAAAAAAAATAAATAAAAGATCGACTTTAGTGTCGTAGGACCCTCCTCAAATCATCTTGATCCTTCATTTAAAAACGAAGCTTCTTCACTTGGCTTAATTTAACTTCCATTCGAGATGGCGGGAGGCTGGACAAGGAAGAAATATTACTACAGGATTCTAGTGTACTTAAAAACACCAAAGTTTCCTGTGCCATTTAACTACTTATTCCTCAGCTTGACCTCACATCTTTACTATTAGTGAAATTCCTATATTTCCTCCACTTTTTTATACTTATGAAGTTACATATAGTCCCCAGATGACGATATTTCTTGATTAATACCTCAATATTATATCCATTCCACTTCAGAGCTGAGTTTAAAATGCTTTTATATTTAAAAAAACCCCCACAACTCCATGAACAATAGGCTGGGATAGAAGGTCAACCCTGGGGTCTGGAAAGTCTGTTTGCTAGCCATCCATACTTTCTGCCTGTCTACATACATACCCTGCTGCCATGATCTTGCTCTGTCCCTGCTGGCATACACACGCTCTTCCTGCTTGATGAAAGACTGTTCCCTTGATCGTTCTAGCACCTTAAACTTGTTTGAGGACCTTTGTGCAGCTCAGAAGCTCCACTCCTTTTTCGGACTCAGCTGCAACATTCAGAAGCATCACCCATCACCTTCCATTCCCGTCCAGTTTTTTTTTTTAATTTTTTAAATGTTTTATTTATTTTTGAGAGAGAGAGAGAGAGAGAGAGAGAGAGAGAGAGAGCATGAGTGGGGGAAGGGCAGAAAGAGGGAGATACAGAATTGGAAGCAGGCTCCAGGCTCTGTGCTGGAGCTTGAACTCACAAACTGTGAGACCATGACCTGAGCCGAAGTCGGACGCTAAACCAACTGAGCCACCCAGGAAGGTGCCCCCATTCCCGTCCTTTTAAACGCATCTATACTAACAGAATAGAGAACGAGTGCCCATTTGCATTTGGACCTTATAAAACCCAATGAACATGATAATGATGATGATGGAAATATCCTAGCAGCTACCACTTACTGAGTGCTTGCTTTGTGCACATACGATTCCAAGATCGTTACTTCTCCCCACAGCTCTGTGAGAGGGGCTCTGTTATTTCCCAGTTCACTGGTGGTGAGACTGGCACATGGGGAGGCTAAGTCACTTGTCCAGGGTGACACAGGGCTGGGAGAAGAGTCCTGACAGCTTAAGCTTGGGGCTATGATGCCAATCAATACTCCATCATACTGACACCAACCCTTCTTTCGCTCTGACTTAGATATTGCAGTTGGTGCCAAGGGCTGATGTGAACATCTGGATAAAGACCATTCTTATGAGAAATCCCCAAGATCCTTAGGTAAAGGTTGATTTTTACACGGTAATGTGTAGCAAACATTACAAGGGTACAGGCGGAGGATGAACGGAGGGAGGTTAGCGTCACCATGTATCTGGGCCACGTCAAGAAAACGAGGGTAGCATGGCGGAGGGTACCAAGGAAACCTTCAAGCCCCTAGCACACGTGCCAGATCACAACACTCAGGTGCCGGCTCGACCTTCACCAGAGTGGCAGAAATGCCAAGAGGCTCTCGACGGTGGCCTCCTAGAGACGTGGGCAAAGATGTTTATGGCTTCTTTTATACATAGGTTAATGCATCAGCCCAGGATCTTCAACCTTTCCAAGATCCTCACGCGCCTCTCAGCTGCGGGACGAACTCGTTCCGTGGGACGAACTTTCTCTGACTCGCCGTAGGTATTCATAGAGTGGCATGCGCCAAGTTTGGTGAAAGATTTCTAAGGTTCTGGGCTTTGGATCTGGTCATTTTTAGGAGGTGAGCGAGAGAGTAAAAGCTGGTCATCAAACACGCTAGTCTGTCCAGCCCCCGGGGAATTCTATGCCAGTGCCGACACCCCCACATACCCAGCGCACACACTGAGAAAGGGATCCCAACAAGGAGGCAATGTTTAATCGAGATAAAGCTGTCCTCTGTGTTTGCCTCCTGTGGGCAAGCAAGGTTGCCATCGCCTCCCCATGTCCCCACCGCTAGTGTTGGTTTCTCTTTTGAAATTTTATTTATTTTTGAGAGAGCGAGCGAGCGTACGCGGGGGGAGGGGCGGAGAGAGGGAGAGAGAGAGAGAATCCCAAGCAGGCTCCGCTCTGTCAGCACAGAGCCCAAGGCGCGGCTGGAACCCACGAACCATGAAATCACGACCTGAGCTGAAATCAAGAGTTGGACGCTTAACTGACTGAGACACTCAGGTGCCCCTTGCTGTCCTTAGTTTAAATTACTGGCCTGATTTATGGTATCCCACATGAAGTATTATCATCTCATCTGTTTTGAACACAATGCAGGACAGGACAAAGGCTATCGCTGTAGTACAAGCAAATCAGGAAAGAGTCAAAGGGTGTCCACACGGGGAGCAGGGATTAAAGAATTATATACTACCCTGAATTTATTTTGTCTTTGCAACTATAACCACGTGTTATGCCTAGCATTTTCCACCCAATATGGTAAAGTAATGGGTTACAGAATAACGTGGATAAAAATCACAGTGTTTTGAAAATTTCGAGACTAAACTGAGAAGAACAAAATACATTTTTCTAACTTACTACTTCATACAAACAATGCATGAGAGAGTCAATGCCCATGCTCAGCTTTGTTCGATAAATCCAGATTCGCTGTAATTCAGGTTTTACACCTCTGGAAATCAGAGTAGTATGAAGAGTTGTCCCCTTCAGCCCTTTCGCCTACATGCACGAGGGGGACAAAGGGGACCCAGTGAAAGGAGACATCTGTGCCCTTCTCCACCTGGCCTTCAGAGCCCTGGAAGGATGCCGTAGACACAGAGGCATCCTTGTTGATGGCGCGTTATAATTAATGCAGGCAACACTTATGGATCACGGGAAGAAGAGCCTCTTACATATGCAGTATGGTGGCTTGAACGCGCCTTCATACGTTATCTTATTGGCTTCTCTCACGAGTTTTTTAAACAATGTTTATTTTAGAGAGGGGGGGGAGGGACCGAGAGAGAGGGAGGGAGAATACCAAGCAGGCTCTGCACTGACAGCAGGGCTCAAACCCGCGAACCGTGAAATCATGA